ATAATAAAACGATAATTGAAGAGAATAAGAAAGAAACCAAAGCGGAAATACATATCATACTTTCATGATCTAACAATTATTTTTAGAAAAATAAATAATTTTAACTATTATTATTAGGCATCATTGTCCATCATCTGCACTTAATTTAATTAAAGAAATATTAAATAAAAAGTCTAAAAAAAACTAGTTTGTTTTATTAATTTTTCTATTATAGTATTTTTAATAATTTGTAATATAATTACAGAACTAATTAATTAATAGTTATATTATTAAATATATTTTCTTTTTTGCTGAAGTAATACACATCCACTCAAAATTCCTATATTAACAAAATTCCCAATCATTGCTCTCAAAACCCAAATTGAACTTATTTCAAACGTTAATATTAATATTTAACAATATTAATAGCAATATATATATATAAATTTTAAATTCCTATTAAAATATGTTTCATATCAGACACAAATTAAATAACTATGTCAAACATCTTTGAACAATGTCAACGCTACTTTAACCTAGATACGAGATAATCAAATTTCGCGTATATCGCATACAACCGATGATGATAATATTCTCGTATTTCGCGAAGACAAGACAATTTAATTTATCTCTCTGAAAAATGGAAACCGTTTAGAAGCTATTCGTTACACTTCTAAACAGTATCACATTCCACGGAGGTCAATCACGGTTACCTCGAGTTCACGCCACTGGTAGCATTCGAATCGCGTCCAATGATTAGACGCAATGATTAGACGCGCTGTTGCGCCGCGATAGAAAGCTTGGTCGCGGCGATCGAGAGAAAGCGGCGACTGCCGTACTCTCGAGATGCGACTCGAGAGGAGGGAGGGGGAGAGGCAAGTGTCGGGGCACTTGGATGCGCGGCCGGAAGTTGGTGGGGTTGCGCCACGAGCAGAAAGGTCGCGACGATATAACGGAGTATATAACCCTCGGGTTCTTGTCGAGTACGGTGGCGGAATTTCTTTCGGCTGTTCGAGAAGTTTGCCATTTATTTCGAATACCACCCTCTCGATGAATACTTTACTCGTCCCGAAAAGTTTTCGCGATTAAAAGTTTGAGGACGATTGTTTCGATATATATGCTTCAGAGAGTATTTCTTAACGTCGATATTGTCGTGAAATGTGAAATAATTGCGTCAAGTGTTTATTGCGTTTCTCTCGTTTTGCATTTTTGATATTTGCCAATTAGTAGAATGAAAAATAGAATAAAAATATGAGAAAGTTTAGTTTAATTTAATTTTCTTCTTCTTCTTCTTTTTCTTTTTTATTCTTCTTCGTTCTTTCTCTTGAAGAACAATTTCTTCAATTATCGAGGCTAACTTCCCATTTCACTTTTCACGAGTCTCGAGATAAAGATTGCCCCAAAAGCATCTAGGTGAGACGGCGGATAAATTTCTTCTGTCCATTCTAAGATCCAGGGATCGTTCGTTTGGTAATTTGCCGGCAACGCGGGAGTAATTTCTTGGACTAATGGTTCGTATCACTTTTCATTTTTAACGGAATTAAATTCTAACGAGATGAGAAGAGGAAAGGAAAATAGTTCGACTCTCTAATAAAAAGAAATAAAAGAGATAAAAAGTTGGAAAGAAACCAGACATCTGTGTATCTCTATCTGGTACCTGTCTAGAACAATTAGAAATTGCGAAGATATAAAAATAAAATGAAAAAGAATGGACCCCGAATGGGTACACTTCAAGCTACACTCATATCTTTTCTCACTTCTACAGAATAATGAATCAATCAGCGAGAGAGAGAGAGAGAGAGAGAGAGAGAGAGAGAGAGAGAGAGAGAGAGAGAGAGAACAAGAAAGAGATAATTAAGTAGATTTACTTGCGACAGAGAAACATGATTCTTTCGTGTCTTCGTAAATTGGCCTCGTGTTTTCTCGGTTTCTTAAAGGTTTTAATTAATCGAGGAATCAACTGAACGAAATTAACTTTGCTTTAATAAGATAGAGAGAATTAAGTTGAATAAAAATTGCGGGAGATGAAATGATATCGATCTGTTGTTTCCGCTTTGAAATATTTGTTACGAAAGAATCGAGAAAAATTTAAATGAAACAAGTTTTGAATTGGTACATATTTTGCGAAGTACAAAGTTTCTAACGATAAAAAAGTTTTGAATTGTGCGATATATTTCTGAATATCTTTCGCACAAAATTACTTTCCTTTCGAAGAAAGAAATAAGAAATCATTATTACGCGCTTATTACGATGATTATCACATTTATTGACGCTTAATCGCTTCATTTGAAATCTTGAAATCCTAAAATGATCGTTCATTGAAATTAATTATATAGCGTTTTATTAATTGCATTTACGCAATATACGATCTCCAAAGCGACTTTCATCAACGATGAAAACATCAAAAGTTCGCACTTTTCTCCTTTATCCTTTCATGATGAAATTTCACAGTCGGCGCTGTTCGAGTTTCGCCTTCGAAACGACCGAGCAAACGCTTACGTAAAAGTCTTTTGTGCAACCAGGTTGAAAAGTCCTCGAGTAGAGAATTAATCGGAAAAACGGTATGCGTCGATAAGAATTCTCGAACCGGAGTTGTCCCGATTGCAGGCGAAGATTGCTCATAGATATTCATGAAACTACGTAATGGTAATTTAAAATGTGCCTTACGTCAGCATTAGCCTAGTGATGGAACATTATCGAAACAATACCGAACATTATATTGATCAAAAAAGAATTTAGCAGTATTTGATTTTTTCTTTTTTTCTTTTTTTTTTTTTTCATTGTTTGATGTTGTGGCTTTTAAAAGTGTTTTAAAATTTTTACTTCTTTTTTTATTCCTTGTTTTATTGTTCATGGATATATGAATAAAAGAGCTAAGTATGTTTAATTCACGAAGTTTTAGTATACGATTTAGTATACGTGTTATTAATCTCTATAAAATTATAGTTTATTGCTGTTAAGAAAAAGAAATTATTAAAATAAGAATCATTTATATTATGTTCTTAATATTGAAAACAAAATTTTTATACCTCTAAAAAATTTGAATTTGAAAGAATTAATTTTCTATGAATTATGTACATGTATACTTTGAAATAAAAGTCATTGTTAGTCATGTATGATACAATATGACATATGATAGATACAACAGAAATAATGCAAATAGAAACAGAAAACAAAAAGCTATTTGATCGTTGATTATCTTTTAAAAAATGTTTATCACGTTTATTATTGTCTTTGATATAAACATTATGTAATAATTACGTAATAATTCAATGAAAATATAATTACTTTCAAACAAATTATAATAAGTTACAAATTTTACAAAAAAGTTATAAAGATGTAAAATATGTGATAATTATATATCACAAGTAATATATAATATAAATTTTACGAAAATAATTGATTGATTCGAGTCAAAAAATTCATTTATTTTTATCGTGTTTTTTTATTGTGAAAAATAATAAGAAGAAATCAATCGAATAAAAAACTCAAGCAAATCTCGAGGATAAAGTGGAAAGTATGCGACCTTCATCGTGACCTCTACAGGACCAGTTTTGTGATCCAATCCACAAAAATATCTATCCGCCCACGACGAAGAGGAGACCGAATTAATACATGGTCAAATCAAAGAGGTATGAAATTGGAGAATATCGAAAGTAATATTTTAATGTAGAAATTGTTTTACTTTAACAAAGATAACAAAGCTCAGATTTTCCACATCAACAGTTTTATAAATAAAGTTTTGGGAGCTTTCGATGTTTATTATTATCGAAATATTTTGTTTTCTATATTATATCATAATTTATTTAGATTGGAAATTTTTTTCATATTAGAAATAATAAAAAAAATATTTTATTCAATTACTCAGTTGATAACGAGATAATTTATTTTAATTTTATAACATGTCAATTATTTTGCATAATTTTTTTTACTTTTTATTTACAACAACAATTATTTAGATTACTCGAATCTTGTTTTAAAATCTCTACTTTTTTTCTTATTTTTCTTGGCACAAAAGTATGAAATAATTCATGCTTCATATACTAGTTCTCGTTAAAAAATCATAATTTATTTTATAATCTTGAAGTACAACGTAATCATAAAACAATTTGATCCATTACTATGGAATAATTTTTCTTCTCTTGTCCCTTAATCTCGCCTCTTATTAAGTTATAAATATATACTTGCTACTGAAAATAATTAGACTTCTTTTCATATGGATAACTCAAGAAAACGATTCAAACTTCAAAGACGAGAGGAATGCGATGTTGACTGTCATAATATTTCTACAGAATACGTAATTTATCGAAGATGTTGGAACTTTCAAAATATTGATTATGTTATTGATTGCGAGTGATAAAATCATTTGAAGAAGGCATCTGTTCATTATTTTTAGGAATCGTTTATTATTTTTAACTCGAGATACGTATTTATGATCTCGATAAAATATTAAGCATTAATAAAAGCGTTTCATATCTAATATAAGATAAAAACTAAAAATTTCTATTTCTCTATTTTTATGAAAAAAATCTACGATAATAAATAAAAATAAATCAATGAAATAATCTATAATAATAATAATCTATAATAATCTTAAATCTATAATAATTATCTATTATTAAAAATCCTCATTCTCCATAACCCCAAATCATTCAATCGATCACAAGTAGATTTTTAGTTAATTTAAAAAATTTCGAACAACAACTCATTCCCTCGACGGAGCCATAACATTATATAAAACCATCTCCCATCCCAAATGAAATTTGTTTAATCCCCACCACGAAAGTTTCTAAAATTTTTATCAAGGTGACCGATGTCAACCTTCGACAATTAACCAATAAACAAAAGGCCGAAAACAGAGTCAGCGGTAAGCTTCAAAGGCCTCACTCGTGGCACATACAATAACACGAAACAACGCATGTATGCTCTATTTAACGATATTTCATCAAGAGGCGTGCGTCACACGTGGGCATCTGCCTCTCAGATAGTTATCGTTGACGTAAAACAAGATCGGGACATACCGAGAGGCGAAGACCATTTCCAGCATGGTTGGTAGCTCTCTCGAGCGGTTGGTGGGCGGACGGGTGGTTTCCCATTTCTCTTCTGGCGTCGATGTTTTCACGACGCGCAGTAGCGACCGCGTCAAGTATCCAAACACAACGGCTTCGTCGTTCGTTGTTTTCCTCGTTGCACTATACACGATATCATCGAACGTCCGTGCACTTTGCTATTCCTCTTCGTTCAAATGTTCTTTCCTTCGATCCCTTTTAATCCTCAGAATATAACTTTCCAGTTCATAACACTTATCTGCCTTATTGTCACTATTTTATTAGATATACAGAAATTAATTTTCGGCCATTAAATTTAGTTTAAATAAGTGATAGAATTAAATCACTTTTTTTAAAATTATTTCTTATTACATAAGATTAAAATAATAAGATAATAAAATCTAATTTAACATAATATTACATAATAAACATGATAATATTCGATAAACAGTATATAAAAAATAACAATATAACTTTTGTAATTAAAAAAAATATTGTCGAGATCAAGAAAATGATTTACTCGACTTTAGAAAAAAATATCTTAAACACTTGTAAAATATAATTTCAAAAATTCCGAAATAGTTTTAATTTTTTCCATATAGAATATCTCAGAATATCGAAAAAAGATAAAAATAAAACACTGCTTCAAAGAAATTTTTGTCAAATTTAGTCAAAATTTATTCTAACATTTAAAGAAAAATATTTAATTGAATAAATGAAGAATGATTATAAAGATAAGTTGTTAAATTCTTTTAAATAACAACAATCAATAACTAAAAGAAGGTATATTATTTTATTTCAATTTTATTGACTCGAAACCGCCATATTTTTCTCGAGAAGAGATTCGTCAGTTATCTGAGAAGTGACAGAAACTGATGACAATCATTTTCAAGATTGAACTACTTATAAATAAACGTGAAATTTATTTTAAAAAGGCCAAAAATTAATTTATACCTTTAATATTTTTTTCGTTAGATTTTCACAGAACATGCACCATTGTCACAACCTGTTTATCGATCTCCTAATTATATTCGTGCACGTATCTTTTTTGGCCTCTATTCAATCGAACTACCACAAATTCGCGCGATTGGATAAGATATCTAAGATATAATGTCCAAGCTAAGGTTCAGCACTGAGAAGGCGGATAACTGTGGGGGCTTCCCGATCGACCAAGGTATTGTCACCGAACAACCGAGTTCCATCGCGAGTCTCCACTGCACGACTTGCATTCGCTTCCATGCACACTACTTATCACTGGCACCAGGTGTGCGATTATATTGACTGGTCTTCACGACACTCTAAGCTCTTTTTTCTATTCTTTGTCGTATTCAATCATTTTTATCAATTCATCAATCTCAACAAGCGAACCCGTTCACCTTTTCTTATTTGACACACTGTTTGATCACAAATTTAATTAACCTCAATCTTTATATATATAGACAAACCTGTCCACCGATGTATGACACACGATCAGACGAGAGAACAGTTTGGATACACATGGCGGCGGTACGAGTGCCGGCCGGTAAAAATGTACACATATCAGAACCGATCGAGGAACAGTTCGAGAGACCAGTGTCGCCTCTTCTTCCTCTTCTTCTTCCCTTCTTACAGCGAGCTAGCAGTTCAAACTGGTCGTGCGACTTGGCCCCGAAGATTGACGTCATGAACTCTACCTAGAGTGGGATCCCTCGGTTACTCTCTCTCCATTTCATACTATCCGTCTCTGTTCTCTGGCCTACCTTACGTCCAGTGGAGGGAGCAACTGTATCCTGTTGCTCGTTTGCTATTCGCGCGATATACTCGTCGCTTTTGCTTTCCAATAATCATCCGGTACACGACGAATATCTCTCTCGTTATTTTTAATCGATGACGAATTTTTTCTCGATTATTCACTCGTGAGTTTCGATCGTGTCGCGTGTTAATCCTTTACAACGTTTCAAGAAGTGGTTGAGAGGACAAAAACGAATCTTGAATCGCCTCAGGAGCATTCCACTGAATCAACACTTCTCTTTGTAATAAAAACGAGCTGTTTCGTTTGTTTCCGTGTATATACTCGTTTTAATTAAAGCCGGTCGAGTTTCTTATGAGAAAGATGTTCTTGAGTAGCTTTTGAAAGATGATAATGTGCAAATTTCATTCGATCATCAAATAGTTAATGAGTCGCATACAATCAGATTTGACGAATTAAGTAACCGTTCTGTGAACGAAAAATTTCAATCGCGTCGCCAGGAAACCGTTACTCGAATGCAATTTCATTTCTTCCCAATCGAATATGTACGAGTTTGATCGATCGACGTTGATTAATTTGACGAATGTTCGGAATCAAGGAAACGGATGCTCCCGTGACGTATTTTTATTTTCGATTGCAAATTGATTTGTCATTGAAAAATGTGATTTGAAAAGAATAAAAGGAGAGAATCGTTCGTGAATTATTTAACTCGATTATCCTCGACCTCCTTTCACGTATTGATTAAGGTTTCGATAAATATTCTGCCATCATCTACTGTTTTTTTTTTTATCAAAGATGAATTATCATTTATACATTTATAGTTACGTTTCATTTATATAATTTGAAGTACGAGAAGAAAGATTTATCCGTTACGCGAATTTTTAATGCGATTATTGCGCAGCTCGTTTAAAATATGCCAATTAATGACAATGCGACTGACAATGAGGTGAAGAGGTACGATACGAAATTCCCACGTTTTTCCGTTAGAACTGCCGCCGTCACGCTTAGCTACTTCCGGTGACCCCACCGGAACTGCAATATACGTTTGATCTGTCGCATCGGTGAATCGAGCATCATCTCAATCACTTTCACATTAACTTTCACATTAATTTCATTATATTTATCAAAAAATATTTCTTGAATATCGATTAACTTCGAAGTTTGTTATTTGAAATATCTTTTATCGTGACGAATAAAACTTTGCAATAATTCGATAACGAACACGAAAATATTAGAATACATAAAACAAAAGAACTTGTCGAAAATGTTTAAATAAAACGACTGTTTTCCGTTTAAAGAACTTCCATGCCACCTGGTGGAGATATCACGATTTACGTATAGCTTTCGACAGTTAGAACACCATTTATCAGTTAAGGGGAAAAAAAAAAAAGAGAACACGATGGTGTATTATCAATATTTAAACGTCACTTTGTTTATTATCGTAGAAAATAGACACGGGAACGAATTTTATTTCACTTTCACTATAATAACACAAAGTAACGGAAAAGTTCGACGAGACGAAGGTACACACGTATTTACGATCCACCGTACTAGAGACGTGCAAGAACCCCCCCCTGAAACACTCGGGACGCGAATGCCGTAGTTCAAACGGGCCCATGTCTCTCTACCCGGGTCCTACGGTGCGCCAGGGGTGTTGCTATATTAATCGATGCCCTATACTTTCTTAAATATTTATATTTTTCGATTTTACCACGATCGTATACATTTATACGATAATATATTCAAAAGATTATATTCAAAGGATAACTCGTCGTAACAAATCAATTTTAAATTCAAGAAATAAAATATACACGATTTTTATCCTCTTACAGTTTCTTTTTACATTTTCAAATTTTATTAAACTGATCATCACGATAATTCCTTCGTCAAAAGTACTTAATAATCAACAAATCTGTCCATCCACAGGAACAAACTTTTCTCCAGTGGTTCCATACGAGATCGTGGTTCCATATGAGATCGTCGTCCCTGTTTTTCATCCATTTAGGCACGAAGCACGAGTCAACCCACCCCCCTCCCCCTCTCCTTCATCGTGAAACCGTAAATGCTCCTCCACTCGGGCCCGGTATACCTTTTCCCTACTCCACCATCGCGATCCAGGGCCATGCCGAGTTCCCTGAGCGCCTGTGTGCATCTTTCCATCCGGCAACCTCAAGTTTGCACCGCGAGAAACCGGTTTGTCGCGCAATTATGCGACTCGAACTGGAGATACCGGCTACCATCGGGCGAACCTTCGATGAATTAACGCCGTGCGAGACGTACGGAGTTTTGATTTATCGAATCTGACTATATCGAGCGCGGTGAAGACGAAGATAACGCCTCGAGACGATCGAGAAGGTTGGAATCGTAGGGGTCAGCTCGAATCTAGGTCCGGGTCTGGTGCTCGAAGTTTACGGTGGTGAGTAGTGCAGCTGCCACGGCAAATGGTCGTACATCTGCTGAGACGCGAGAATGAGAGAGGCTCACCGCGAAACCCAGCCAAGGTTTCTTTCGTTTTCAGATCTTTCGACCGAGATTCCGCGTAGAACCTTCGTCTCGAGGCAACATCGATGGAAGGGGGGGGAGGGGTAGAATGAATTAAGAAGACGTAATTGCCTGATTAAGCGCAACTGTCGATCTGTTTGATATTGTTTTAGATTTGATAGAAACGATTTATGTTAACTATTCCATTTTCGATTCGTAAATCGAATCACATATATCTTTTTTTTATTTTTTAATTATGAATTAATTCGCAAATAACAGAGAAAAACAGTCTCTTGAAATAAACGAGTGAATTTTGTACTACAAATGATTGTTTTTTTACAAATCAATTTTACATTTCTCCTGTCAAAGAAAATGTGATATTCCATTTACTTGATACTTCATGTAACAGAAGTTCATTGGTTCTCCAAATTTTTATAAGTTAAAAGTTATTTATTTATTATTATAAAAAAGTTCACGTAAATTGATTTAATTGATAGAAATTTAATTATTCTCAAATTTTCCATAAATAATATTAAAATTGCGTTACGAAGATTTTACATATAACGATGTCGGTCAAATTACCAATGGTTCGTTGAATACTACTTGTGTTTTAACTCTACTTGTGTTTTAATTACGAGCAAAGATGGGAAATAGGGGAGTGAAAAATATCTGAATGACCGTATTTTTTCAAGCAGCTGCATTGCCTTGATTTAGTTTTAAAGTAAAGTAAGCTCCACGATCACAGAGGAAGAAAGAAAGTTGGCAGCTGTCTTCGGTTTCGTTCCTCTTTGCTATTTTCTCATATCTAAACACAGGAAGCTAGGGACTTACTTTACTTACCTATATCGTGCGATATAAATCGATAAAGTATAAGATAAATTTGCACAAAAATGACTAAAAACCGGCCAAATGATTGGAAAATGCAAAATCACACATACATAATCGAATATTTGTAAATTTTTCATTATCTGAATAACAAATGGCGAATAGGAAGTGATGGCTTTCCGGTTCATTACGGTTGTAAATTACGCGTGATATTTGCAATCTTCCCGCGATGAGCCTTGGTAATAAAATAACTATTAAAGTTGATGCAATTTTAAAAAAAAAAATTTGCTTTTTTTTTCTTTCTAAAAAAGGCGTTCTACTATTCATTTTTGCGAAACTTCAGTTAAAAGTTCACGAAAAACTTAAAATTAATATTCAAAATACATCGTTTAAAATTAATATTCAAAATACGTGCTAAAATTTATTGAAATTCGTAGAGGAATCTTGAGACCTTTGCTTTTGTTTATTATGGATTAAATATTCAAAATTATATGTCAGAAGGATATTCGAAATGAAAAATATCAATCTAAATTTCAGAAGAAATTTATTGAAAACGGGGAGAAAGTAATTTAGTAAAACTTCCGCTTAGTTCTCCATTTACATTCAGAGTCCATCAAGAATTCCAAGAATGGAATATTTATACGAATTTAAATTTCAGAAAAATTCGAATAGGGGTAACCCTTAGTCACCTCGCTTCCTCCCTTACGTTTACGATTAAACCGACCGAATTATAAATAATCCGGTGAAGAATTTAGCCGGGACGACGAAACAAAAGAGGAGGGATCAAATCGAATTCGCCCCGTTTATTTGCACGGGGTGCAGTGTGAAAACGCCCCGTCGACGAAAATAACGTTCGAACAGCCTTGATCCAGCTACGAATGGCTGCTGGCTAGAGCGACTATTTTCGTCGACCTTTTCACGTGCGTACACGCTCGTTCCACGATTACAGGGCTATGTGTCGAGGGCGATATGCACAGGTGCATGCACCGAGAAAGGAACAGCGCAAGGAAGGCGAAGGGGGACCTCGGAAGAGATGTGGAAGGAAGAAAGGAAGGAGGAAAAGAGCACTTGGTGGATGGTGGATGGTGGATTCGAGGAAGGGTGACTTTCAGCTACCGCCGCAACCTTCCACGTTTGCTTTTTCTAGTCGCTTTGCGCTCGTGGCAAGCTCGAGTAGATTAGAGATAGAAGAGGGGGGAGGAGAGGAGGAAGCGAGCAGGGAAGGCAAGGCGCGTGGACGAGCAGAAAAGAGATGACGAGGTGTATAAGTGTAATCAGCCACCTGATGGTATGCAATAAGAAGAAATATTCTCGGTATGCGAGAATGGAGTGTGGAATGATAAGTGTTAAAACATTTTATCAAGTTGAGTGGTTTTAGGTAGTATGGAAGAAATGGGAGAAAATGTTGGTTTCCTTTTTTTTTTTGAAGGATCTTCTTTTCAAAAGAAGAAATAACGAGGTTTTCCTTTTTTCAAATTAACTCTTAAAACAGATATTTTATTTTTTGGTGAATAACGGAGACGAAAATGTAATTTTAGTTGTAATTTTAATTAGAATGGGAGAGAGAGTTTCAATTGGAAAGTTTTTATACTATTAGTCGGAATAGTAAAGATAGAGAGAAGAATGATGATAAAAAATAATGAG